TCTACTACATTACTTATTTCTCCCTATTTTTCACCCTCTTTGCCCTTTCCTTAGAAGTGTTTGAGACAAAAATGGCATTAGGATCAAAACTCCTGACTCCAAGAACAAATACCTGCTGGAAAGCAAGAGGGCATTATAACTGGACAGTGGTCCCAAGTTCTTTTCCACTTCCCTTTGTATGGAAAAGAGGAAAGGGACTGAGTGGCTCAGAAGTTGGTCCATGCAGACAGCAATGGAAGTCCTCATTTATTCCTTCATAAAATATGCATTGAGCACCCACTGTGAAACAGACCGTGTGATGCAATAAAGCTGCTGCCCTCAGAGCCTTGAGATCCATATAGCTCTATAATGCATCATGCTAGGGACTTGTTTTTTTTTTGTTTTGGTTTTTTTCAATACTGGCTTCACAAATCGTGAAGTTGCTCAAAAAATATGATGGAATCCAGGTAATAATTATCCTCTTGCTATTTTTTGAATGAAAATCTCCCTGATTCATGATTGTCTTTTCTTTATGTAAGAGAGAGATTATATACTTAAAGTCTCACAAATATTCAGCACATATTTGCAGGGATCCAGCTCCAGGAAATACATTTTGCAAAATGACACTTCTTAGCACAGCACAAGGGTTTACTTATGCTTTGCATAAGGACGGCCAAGAGGAAGCTAATTAATATGCTAAGTGCTCACTTCTATTTATAGGCACTGGTCCAAGTTTGGTTTTTGGTTAACATGTACATGGAACTCTGACATGTATTTATCCTCTCTTTTCCACTTTTAATACCTCTTCAAGCAAAGTTCTAAATTTTTTTGGCTTACATTTTTATGATATTGGACGCATACAGGGTACTTATTTCAGCCTTTTGTATATGTTTCTTTACCTGATCATTGAGGGAGAAGTAAAAATGATTTCCAGTGGTATTTCTAAGTGATAAAAATCTACAGGCACAGAATTGTTGCTTGTCTTGACTAACACGATGTTTTATACGATCTAAATTTTGCAAGTATTGGTTTCTGACCCCTCTATCAGCATTAGCATTGACTTTTGAGAGTTAACGGCAAATGCTGTAGACAATTCAACATTTTCCTTGCACTCAGGCAATTGCAAACATATCTTTATTAGGAGTTGGGCAAAAAGATCTCTGTGTTTCTTAAAACTGTTCCCTTTAAATTATTTCTAGTAGAGATTGGATTTGAGATCTGCCTCTGACTTGCTAAGGATTATTTATGATTTATTTCAACCTTTAGCTGGCTCTAGGGGGGAAAAATGAACAAAGTTGAAACTAAAAGGAGGAGAAGCTTAATCCTTAGTGAAATTCCAGTGGCATGGAACACCCTGACTCTTATGATGGGTGCATTTTTAAATTTTTTATATGTTTATTTTTTCTCAAAAATAAAATTAAACTCATTTATCATTTTTAATTAGAGAACAAGTATCATCATTTTTTAAAGAGAACAAATTTCAAGCTGTGAGTCTTTTAAGGTAGACTGGTCCTCTGAGACTTTTCTGAAGCACTATGGGGAAATTTTAAACCCAGTCAAATATTTTTCTTAGGAAAAGTGGTGATAGGTCATGGTGAAATACGGGTGTCATTAAATTTTCATAGAGGTTCTTAACACACCAGAGTCACCATAACATGGACACATTGACTATAATATCTCCAAACAAGCATTTGCTTGTCTGCCATGGCTCTGAAGGGAGCTGTTACAGTCCGTCAATGAAGTAATCTGCATGTTAAAAAGTCCCTAAATATGTATTTACAAGATAGTCAGATCTGTTTTGGTCTGATGGGTTAATAATCCATGTGCTAAGTCTGTATATATGTACTCACAAGATATACAGATCAGCTTTGGTTCACTGAGTCAATAGTAAGTAGGTCTTTAAAAAGGCGCCTAAATAGCTGCATAGTTTGTATCTCAGCAAGTTCAGAAATGCAGTCTGTATACTATAAGCTATTTCTTTTAAAGTGCGGATGTATTGTTCTTTTTCCAGAGGATGCCAAAAGGTGTGCTTCACTCTAACCTGTAATATTTTGCCCTTAAAATCTCAGAAGAAAATTGCCATAGCACAAACTATATTAAAGCTCTGAGGCATAGCCCTCCAGGCTGGGGTGGATGCTGTCCTAGATTATGTCATACATATTCCATTCGCTATCACTGTTCAGGTCAAATCCCCCACTCCCTGTCAGCTGACTTTGCTTCCTTCCTGTCAGTCTCAGCCCAGCAGCTAGAGTAATCCTGTATGGCCTTCCTATGTTCCAGCAACTTCCCATTTCAGAGTCAAAGCAACTTCCTATACCACGGTCAAAGCCAAAGGCTCCTCAAGATATGCCCTCCTTTCTCAGAATTCACCCCTTCCACTCTCTTACTGGCCTCTTTGTTACTCCTCGTACACTCCAGCATGCTTCTGCTTCAGGTCCTTTGCACCTGCCCTTCCTTCTTTCTGAAAATCTCCTTTCACATGGCTAGATCTCTTATATTCTTTAGTTCTGTTATGAGAGAAGTCTTCCATGACCACTCTGTATAAGACAGCAACATCCGGTAACACCACTCTTATTATTCTCCATTAGTACTTCTCACCATTGAAAAGAATATGTCTTTACTTGTTTGTTTATTGTTGACCTCCTTCTCCTAGAAGCTCCTTCCACTGGGGCAGGAGCCTCCTAATTCCATGCTTAGATAACTGCCTGGTACATTTTAAGTCCTCATTAAATATTTGTGGTACAAATGAACGAAAGCAGATGCAAAAGGAGTCTTCTTTCTGCTTCCTTGATTTCCTGGTTGTGCTCATGTTTAGGTTGAAGAGGAATGCGTATCTCTTTTGGAGCTGAAGCCGCCTTCTTGGCCATTAAACCTCAGTTTCCTGTAATATTCTCTCAGTGGCACAAAACTGGTACTTCCTTAAGGTGCTCATCCGTCCTGTTCCTAGAGCTATAGGGCTCTGATGAAGCTCCTAGAGGAGCTAGGGTCATCTCAGCTGGTCACAGAAACATCAAATCAGTCTGCTTCTAGGTGCAACAGTAAAAGTGCAATACATAGACAGAAGTAGCATTTCTAAATGTCTTCACTGAATGAGCCTAATGGTGTCCACCATAGGCTCCAATGATAGCAGTGGACTGACTGACTAGATTTTGCAGTTTAATCTGATGCAGCCACAAGGGATGACATGTGCCACTCTATGTGTGTGTCACATAACGGTAACAGACTGAGGAGTACTGGGCAGAACCACTATTCTCTCTTGAATCTGGTAAATTTCTCTGGAGGTATTATCCCATGCCTCCACTCCCACCTTTAACCATGCATGTTGTTCTCAAATGCATCCTTTCTAAAGATTGAAAACTGTCATAGCAACTCCTTCCTTATTTGAATTTCACAGGAGCATTCTTTATTTCAATCACTCAGAAAGGGGACTTTGGCAACGGAATCACAGCTGACAGCAAATTAATGACTATGATGCTGTGATTAGTTGAGATTACAGGCTACAGAAAGCTTGTCTGAGAATTCACCACTGACATCATCCTGATGCTAGCTTCTGCTGGGGATTAATATTGGCCAAAAAAGAGGATGTGGTTCAGCTACAGTAAGCTCCATATAAATGTAAAGAAATCTGTCTGTACTGTAATATTTCAATGACATGCTTACTAATTAAAAGGGCTTTTACTGTTAACTTGCTTAGCCTAAACAATCTTCCTCCTATGCCCTCTCTCAGCACACTGACTTATTTTAATAAAGCTATAAGATATCCAAATAAAAAGTTGAAGTGATCTAGATAATTCCAGTCCCCAAACCCAAAGTATTCATTAACTAAAAGGAAAACATAAGAATCTTGAATTATTTGGATAAGTTACTCAATTTTATAATTTATTTTACATGAATAGACAAAGCAATGGATATTGTAATGCATGCCAGGGTCTGAGTAGATTTAGAAAATAAAACTTTTCAATCAACTTAATAAAGAGGAGATAAAAATTTAACGTGAACAACACAAGAATGACAAAACCATCTATTCAGTTACCTGGTGTCATTTCACATCCTTCTAAATTTTGGCTGCAAAGAAATAATGATTTCTGTAATCCCCAGGAATGACTTTTGTGGGGAGAAGGTTTCAAACAAATGTCTATTTGCTTTAGATGAGCTACCTTATTTGATTTCAGATCCTCCTAAGGGAAGAGATTTCAGGATTTCCTGGTTGTAAAGTGGAAGAGAACACTTAGCTGAACTTGTATGACATCACCTGAAGCATTAAAAGGGCAGGTGATCTTGAGTTCTCTGCCTGTTTACCAAAGCTTCTTTACTTCCTCAATCTATTTTATTTTTAAATGTCAGAGTAGTCTGAAATCTTTCAAAGATATACAGGCTGCAGAAGCAGAGGAAATATTAGGATACATTATTTAACTTTTGTGAGAGCTTTAAAATAATTAATGAATGGACTTTTGAATTGTTATATATCACAGTACAGATATTCTAACATTAGACCATGTGAAGAATAAATATAGTTTAACAACAAAGGGCATGAGGCCATCTCTATTTCTAGGAAGTCTGTGAAATGGCTCTTTAGAGTACAAACCAGAGGCACAAAGAGAATATTGCATTTCCAAAGAATACAATATAATAAAATTTGGTTTATCAATGAAAATTAGAATATTATACAACAAATGAAAACAGTAAACACAATTTTTGTTTTAAATACATTTTTCAAAGTCTACTTGGAAATCCACATATATTATAGAACAAATTTTTAAAATGTAGTGGTTGTAATATTATTTATTAAAAAGCAACAAAATGAGAGCAAATTATATTTAAGCTTATACTATAAAGATATTTTCCAATATACATAAAACACTGGAGACACATAGCTAGAACAAATAGTATTTGAAAGATCTTACTCTAGATATGTAACAGACAAGACATTTCTCACTGTAATAAATTAATTTCTTTGTTATACAAACCCCCTCAACCATAACTTCATGAAGAAATGTGAAGTGGTGTGAAAATGATCTTACCTCATATTCAAAATCTTCTGTTCTGTCTGCATCAGCAGGCAAGCTGGAAATATACTCATTGTCCTCATAAAATTCATGCTCTATTGGATGCAGAGAATGGCAGCTATGGGGAATATAGCAATATGATAGGCATAGATTAAAAGGGTTGTTTTCAAGATTAAAACTGATTTTAGAATTTCACTTTAGTTTGCTCTGCTTTGGAATAAGACCTGTAGTGATCTAGCCTTTAAACAAACTACAGCTCAGAAAAAGCAATCGCTTTCCTTTCTCCCTCTATGGGAAGTCCATCGGTTTGCAGTTTCTGTGGAATAAGGGCCTGTGGTCAGAGTTGTATTCACATCAGAGACTGATGTGAAATCTCTGACAGTCCATGATGCTTTATTGATACTTTCTGGCCTGCTTCCATTCCACCGAATGTGACAAGCTCGACACGTGGGTGTGTGGCATTTGAGATTGCAGTCTACTCAAAAAGGGGTATTTGTCATAAAGCACTAACAATTTCGTAATTCACAGCTGCAAACTATTTTTTGAAAACCATTTTCAAAAGCACATATTTTTCAGACTCTAAAATGTGCTCACATTGTACCCTCCCCTCTTTCTTAAGATCCCCCTTTCTCACTCTCCCTCATAATGCACATTTTCTCCTCTTTGATCAAGGACATATACACAAGTATTAAAGAGCATTTATGGCGATCAATCAGTGGAAACTCCTATAAGCCGAAAGGTTTCATAATACCTTTAGAAAATTCTTAGTGACGGAGAGAGCAGATTACATTAAGGAAATGAGGGGATATGGGGTGTTGCACGTGGCTTTTATGTATTTCAACTTTTAGGAAATATTTTAAATAGTTTGTAAACATGTTATTCAATTTATTATGTTCTGATATAAAGACCACACATCGTATCATATGAAAACTAAGAATAGTTTAACAGCAAAGGGCATAAGGTCTTTTCTATTTCTAAAGACACTGAAAAAGCCTAAATATAATTGACTAGTTGGTTGCAGATGAGACTTCTAAGCCTTGACAGTGTGGACCTTATTGAAAAATTGGAGACAGCAGTATCAATTAGTTCTCTTCTCCCTTGCTGAAAGGCAAGAGACCCATCCTCATGCCCTCATACGATGGTCAGCATAAATATTCTATCAGCCTCTCCTCACTACTATCTATGGCTGTCAGCTCCACACAGGTCTAACTAGTGTAGGTCAGAATGGTAAAGTAATAGAGGCAGCACCTTGCCTTGTGTCTGCCAGATAAATCTTGCTTGAAGCTGAACTGGGTCCACATAGCCCATTTAGGATGTTGGAACATTGAAGTCTGCTGCTTTGGACATCTGATGTGTTTCCCTTGTCTTTCAGATAGTAAGACGGGAGCCCTGCTGTGAGGAAGACTTTATTCATTCAACGTTTATTCAGTGGCTACCAGATGCCAGGCCAAGTGCTGGAAATATGTTGGTGTACAAAATCCAATTCTGCCCTATTAATTGGGGAAAGCAGCAAAGTGGGAATTTTAATACAGTGCAAGAATTAAGGGAAACATATAGAACCTTGGGAGCACATGGTAGGGGGTGGACCCACTGCAGCCCTAGGAGGTTTTCTAGAAGAGGTTGTCTCTAAGCTAAGGTCTGCAGCACCTAGGAAGAGCAGCAAGACACACTGGCTAAGGAAGTAGGCATTGGGGTCAGACCTCTTAGGCCTAGAAGCCTGGCCCTGTCACTTTTTTGCTATGTTATCTTGGCCATGTTACTTAATATCTGTTCCCTCATCTTAGACATAGGATGTTGATAATATAATGCACTCCATCATGAGATTATTGTGAGAACTAAATGAGTCGATAAATGCAAAACATTTGGAATAATACTGAAAGCATGTTAAGTTAGCTAATACAAGCTAGCTATTATTATTCATTCAAGGAAGTATTGAATGGCTACTATGTTTTAGGCGATATTAATGAATATTATATGTTTGTTTCCTTGCTTTTTGTTCAACTACCCCTGTACAATATAAACTGTAGAAGGCAATGACTTTATTTTTGTTCAAAGTTTTATGCCCAGCATCTAGTTCCAATGCCTGACACATCCGATTTGTGTCTGACACAAAAGGCTATTTAAAAGGTAACGGATGAATGAATAAAGAGATACCCAAGACAAACAAATCCCCTACCCTCCTGGAACTTGAAGTCTCAAGGAGTGTTTTCAAAACTTGGATGCACATTAGGATTGCCTAGGGAGATTTTTGAAAAATTCCGATGCCTAAGCCTTACTCTAAGAATTCTCATTTAATTGGCCTAAGGGGTGATTCAGGTATTGATACAGCTTCTAAAAGTTCCCAGGTGATTCTACTGTACATCTGTGACCCACTGAAACAGGCTTATGGGAGTCAGCCATCAAAGGGCAGGAAAGTGGCATAAATCAGATCTATGTTTTACAAAGTAGAGAGCAGATTGGAGTAGGTGATGAAAATGCAGGCTAAGGAGACTATTGCTCTTACAAACTCTCAATGTTTGAATATTTGCTAGAAAGCTCACAGAACACAATGAATTGGACAAGCGTACTTCTAAAACTGTTCAAGTAGGATTATTTGAATAAAATCTCTCTGACTTCCTTTAAATTGGGCAAAAATCTGGAGGAAGTATTCCTTGAATAGATCTTTATTTGATAGCACTATATTTACTTTCTGACAGCCAAGATCCTTTGTTTATATCTCAATATATTGGGTAATTGCTTTCTTCAGAGAGTTGCACTTTAATTAAATTAATTTCCTAGCTTCTCTTTAAAGAAGAGAAATGCAAGGAAGAGAGAGAGGTGGCCCACGGAGGAGAATGTGGAGCCAACATGCCACTTCCACATGAGTCTTAATAAGGTTTTTGGCAGCTTTGGTGAGAAAAGTGATTTCCCTGACCAGTGTTCATGAGTAGCATGAGGCTTTTGACTGCTAGTAATATGAAGATGAACTAATCAGAGCCAGAATTTTTCATAGCAGCTAGCAAGTATGATTACCCAGGTGAAGCAACCATGTGGGTTAGGGAGAGTAGCTAGCAGGGACCACTGAGAACTAATTGCACATATCTAAACAGGGGAGACATTTTCCAAACAGAGCTGGGAAGCCTGTCTCCATAACTGTCAACCTGCTAGGGGAGTTGCTTCTTTCCAACATCTGCTTTACGTGACAAATGGAAACAAACAGGGCTTTGGAAGAAATGACAGAAAAATACCTGTCTGAGAGCAGGAATGGACAGATGTCTGGCACTGGAGGGGTAGGTGGCCGAAGCTTGGCCAGGGCCATGATGTGTTCGAAGGTGATGTCCGTCTGAGTGCTGGCATTCATGAGTTGCACTTCTGGAGCCATCCCATAGGCCGGTCTACTAAGAGGTGTTCGCCTTAACACCTGCACCACAATGGGCTCCTTGGCATTGCGAAAGGCTTCCACTGCCTCTTCGTGGGTGGCCTTCGAAAGATCCTTCCCATTGACCTACAAACATATGAGGACGTTGTTTATCTCAGAGGAAAGATCAGAGAGGCTGTCGTGATAGATTAATAAAAGGTAGAGAGAAAGGTTTCAACCAGCTCTGACATGAATTTTGTAATGGAATATTTAATCAGATATTAATATTTACTGACGTCTTTACCAACATGATGAAGTACCTGAGATTACAACAACAATTACTTCTGTATCTTTATAAAGTATCTGGAGTTGGTTAACGAGTAAAACAGCAGAACCATTAGTAAAGATTTAAAAATTTAAATCACACATCTGCTTCAGAAAAGGGTCACCGAAGTCTTCGGATGGAGGAAATGTTAAGTATGTCATACTTTTTCATGATTTATCAATGGCTCTGTGAGATTTTCAATATTTAATCAAGGTCTTACTTGCCTAAAATCTACTTTTTTAAGGTATTGTCAAATTTCCTCCATATTCATAATGTTTTAATCCAAGACCATGTGATTGCCCATGTGCATTTTATCCTAAATCCTCACTGTTGGAAATGTGGTCTGTGAACCAGCAGCATCAGCATCATATGAGAGATGATTAGAAATATAGAATCCCTGGCCCTACCCTGGACCTACTGAATCAGAATTGGCATACTCACAAGATTCTGACTTTATATTTATATTCCTGAAAGAATCACTGCTCTAAAAATCCTCTGAATGAATATAGTATGTACCCACTGGTTACTCGTTTTAATTCATACCAATTCATGACTCTCCACGGTAGCTCTAGACATTACAGAGAAAGAGGTGAAGTCTGCCTTTGTCCTCACTTCTTGCTTCTCAACAGGGGCACAAACCATTGTCATTTGGGAGAGAAAATTTATTCTTTTTGTGGGACTCTCCTATGCCAGCTTACCAAGGGCCAGGAATGTTTCCCAACCTTTGTGGCTGTCAAAACACCTACACACTTTCCCTAACAACCTTGTGGTAGGCAATACAGACCACGCTCAAGTAGTTGTCAATTTCATCCCCTAAAATGAGTCCTGATAACACAGCCTTTTAGTGAAAGTTGTGTTTTAATAAAGGACTCTAGAATCCTGAAAGAGTTTTATGACTCTCGCCCCAGATGAATCAATAATGCTGTTTTTTGCAGATATGAAGAGCTATCTAGTGGCACAATACTGTGCCCAATATCCCTGAAATTATACCATTTCCAGACAGCAAACTAAGCCACCCGCCTGTTGGTGAGGCAATGATAACTGTCACGCACCAGCAAACCCTTAGAGATCCCTGGGTGCCTAAAAAAGAAGCAAAAGAAGTCACTGAGTTGCAGCTGTAGAGAAACTGCTGACGTTCAAATGAGCACATTCTCTCTCCCTGAGTAGACAAGGAATATGTGTGTGCTCAGAGCAAGTGTGGGCCGTTTTGGGGTAAATGATACAATGGCAGGTAGAAATCATCACATCATGTAGAGACAGGCTTAATGACCTGGAGGAGCTAATTTACTCAATGGACCCTGAAAGAGTTAATGTGCCTTCAAAAAATGAGCAATTAAGCTTCTTCAACAGCAAAATATGTCCCAATTCAGTTCTTGCTCTTGAATCACTAGTAAGACAGCCCAGGTGGAGATCTGACTGGGTGTTTCCCAGTGTGAACACATTCACTAATCTGTGTATTCACTGTTTGATACTCTTTTCCATGAACTAAACTTGAAAAATTATCGCTGAGTTTTCATTGATACACCTTGGAATACCTGACTTGGGGCACATGAGGGTATGTGGACATGAGACACCTATGGACATGATCACACTCATTCCTTTAGCTCCTGCTGTATGACAGGTGCTTGGGCCGGGGCCACTACTGCCTCCCCTGAGGACATGTAGACAGCAGATGATAGAAGAAATCCCAGAATGAAAAAGCACAACATAAAATCTAGCCCCTCTCATTGAATAGTATCATCCCCTGTGTTTCATATTGTGGTCAGTATTTATAAATTCCAGATTGTGGAAGATAATCAAGTGGTAGGTAAAACTGCTCTGTGAGAATTGATGCAGTAGGTAAAAATTGCTCTTTTGTCCCCAGCCTTCCTGCTTCATGATGTACCTTCAGTTTAGTGAAGATCTGTTCCTGCAGGATCCTATACCCTTCCCTCTGTGAAAAGAAATCTCAGTCACACAGTCTGTTATCAACTATTTATTTATTTATTGAGATGGAGTCTCGCCCTGTTGCCCAGGCTGGAGTATAGTGGCATGATCTCAGCTCACCACAACTTCCCCTCCTATGTTCAAGGGATACTCCTGTCTCAGCTTCCCAAATAGCTGGGATTACAGGCACGCACCACCATGCCAGGCTAATTTTTGTATTTTTAGTAGAGATGGGGTTTCTCTATGTTGGCCAGGATGGTCTCTAACTCCTGACCTCGTGATCTACCTGCCTTGGCCTCCCAAAGTGCTGGGATTGCAGGCATAAGCCACCACCCCTGGCCTTATCAACTATTTAATATATCTACTGGAACGGTGTCAACATGTTATCTTTTCCTATAAGCCCTGTATCAAGAGGAAACCCTAATAGTGGTAGAGGGAAATAAGACTACTTTTTTGAGGGACCTTTATGCAGTATCTGAAGGTAAAGGGAAAAGCTTGTGACCAGGGTTTCTTCCAGTTATACATTAAATTCTACTAATGCACAAAGTGTGTCAATAGGTAGTAGATAGATAAATGCCATTCATCTATTTTTTTCCCCAAGACAAGACAAGGCTCATTTTTCCTCAGCCTTACATGTTAATCTAGTCCTGGTGTTCAGAATATTTATTTGCTTTAGTGATCTTCGAAGCAACAGCTATTTTAAAAACGTAAGATTCCTACTGATAATGATTATTTACCTGTGTTACTGTAAGCTAAGTAGGATTGCTTTTGCAAAATCCAGAAGATTATAGTTTTTTGTGGAAATATAAAATTTATTGAAAGGTATTTTAGGTTGTGAAATCATTATTGTAATGCTTAGTATATGCAAACAATATTAGCGTTCATGTGTCAAGATCAATGGCTATTGATTATATGACTTATACACTCATTTATTTATTATCATGAAATTTATATGCAAATTTCATTCTTTTCTCTAAGAACAATCAAATACAATCTTAAAAGGACAGTCAATGTAATCTCAAGATCTTACTTCCCTATTGGAGAATGCTCTTTTCTTCTAGTTATCATGCAGCTGACCTCTATTTTCATAAGCTATTTAATATCTCTCAAAGTAAAGAAGTCTATGACCTTTAAAGGCTCTACTGTTACACATGATCCCTTAGAAAATGCAAGCATTGATGATACTAAATACTTTTTTTCACTTCACTTGAAGTTCATCAACATACTGTTAGCCTACCAAAAGGTCACCATTTTATATATTATGCCTTTCACAAGAAAAGAAAAGAATCGCTTAATTGGGATTTTCTGGCAATTGCTCTGCTCAGTTATCATCAGTTGCAGCTAGAGAGAAGAATTATATGGGAAGAATATCTACAGTTTTCTAGGAGAAGTTTGTGAACAACAGCAAAACTTCCTTTTTTTCAAGTGATTTGTTTTTAAACCAATAACAGATATTTGGTGCTTCATATTGCCATATTGCCAGATCCTTACATATTATTCTATTTCTTTACCACTATATTTTCACCCTTCATTCCACCTTCCTTTTTTTCCTCTTCCCTCTTACTCGTTTGTCTCAATCTTAAATTTAGTTTTGTATGGATGACATAAAGTTTTAAATTGTTTTGTGAGATGAGACTAAAGATGAAGAAACTATCCACTAAAGGAGTCCCATTTAAAATAGGTAGTTAAGGGTAGACACCCAATATTTTTGGGTGTCCAGTAAACGGTGGGAAGATCTTTTGTGAGAGGAATACAGATGAGTTGATTTTCAGGAGAAAAAAAAAACCACATGAATATGGTTAGGAGCAAAACTGAGGGAAGAGGGTGCAAGGTAACTTGATTACTGAAAAAAAAAACAAAACCCATGTGTTACGGAGTTTGAGTTTGCATGCAGAAGGATTTTAGGAAAGATCGCAATTTGATTTAAGCATACCATAAGAAAAGAGCCTTTTTCCAAAAGGGTTGTTAAATCGAATGATTGAGAGGATAGGGTGTCATAACAAACAGCAGTAGTATATGCAATAATTTCCTCTATTGCCATAACTTCTGGCATTTTGATAGCTGTGGCCCAGACTGATTTGGTTCCATTGTAACCAGGCAACTAGTGTACAACTAAAAAGATTCGTGCGATTGATATTTGATAAGAGGCTGGTAGTCCCAGGGTGGGAAGACTGGACTCTGAAATGATGATTTAGCCACTGGACTTGAGATAAATAAAAAAGCAGACACATTATGCAACAAGGGGTTTTCAAAATTGGCAACAACAAAAAAAGAGGAAAGGACGATGCCAATGAGAGAAATTCTAGGATAAATAGTGACATGTGGTTGTCCCGAGACAAACTAAAATGTAGGATTAGAAAAAAGTGGAGAGAGTAGTCTTAATCATTCTTAATCACATGAAACTTGAAGCAATTATAAGATATATATTCAAATGAATTAACAAGTAAACATATGATAGGAAACTAGAAGAAAAATTGATCATAGGAAACCATTTTCTGAGAAGGTCTTCCCCTTCTCCCTGCACTTACCAATTCAGATCAGCACAAATATCCTTAAAGATTAGATAATTCAAGTGATGGCTTGTATTACACACATATAAATTTTTAGAGATACAAAATAGTTATCCTGTTTCTAAAAAGTTATTATTTCTCATTATATTGATAGCATAATCTTAAGTGGATAAAGAAAAAGCAATCACTTTTCAGTGATCAATGCAAAAGATGTGCGAATACATTTCTTGTGGAAGATGGGCTAATTAATCCATAAGCAACTTGTGAATGTTAAGTAAAGAAGAGAGCTTTTCATATGTAAACCATATCATAGTAATGTTTGATGAAGCCTCTGTTTAATGAATAATCTACCCTTTTGGATATCTGGGCCTTTTGCAAAATCTGGG